GACTAGGTGAATGATACCCGTCGGAGAGCTGTTCTTGCTACATCCCTGTCTTATCTTTCATGGATCAGACATGCGGGCGCATTTTTGTGCGAAACAATGTCTCACACAGGCCACTGCGTTCGTCCTGATGGTTCGTCGATGGCGATTGGAAGGCTTAATGCACGATACGACTCAAGTAGAGCCTTGCACGATTCACATCGAGGAATATATACTGAAAGAAAATCAATCGAATGTTGTCTCGTCATTAACCAATCCCTCGCTCTTCATTATGGCTGCATCTACGTTGGATCGTGGACGGGCTCAAACACCGGGGTCCCTGCAGGTCGACCCTGTCGAGGCACGAGGACCTCCGGCACTCCTACGCGTTTTTCCTCTTTCTCGCCTCTCACTCGCCCTCTTTCAGGTGACCTGTTCACTCGTTATGCAGTGGTGACATTTCCACGATTCTGCGCTTGCTAACCCCAGAGCATGTCCATTTTCTTGCTCCCCGAGTTCCATTTAGTCAATGAACTGCATCACCTAGTATGAATCAGTTATAAAGATGATGTTGCACTTACTCCGATCCACTTTGAGTATCCCACTACGGACTTGGCTGCCGACAGCCCATTTTTTCACTCCACACCTGCTTTCCCTAAGCATCATCACCATCCGATCAGCTTTCGCCAATCTGCGCACAACACTTTTCAGTGTTGCTTTTGGGAATTTGAAACTTTAACACCCAGTCTCTCTTCAGGGAACTGGTTGGTCAGCTGAAGGCTTAGACCTTATCATTTAGTCCCCAATCTTGATCCCTTGCGACGACCATGCACTAACTCAAGTATATCCAATGGCACTTTTATGCCTGGCTTCCAAACCTGATAGCCCACTTAGATGCTACAGATCCCAGACGTATACCCTGGTTTGCTAACACTGACTTCGCATACTATGATCTGCGCTACTGTGCTTGAGAGATCCCTGCCGCATCTGAAACAGCTCCACTTCTGTGGCCTGCGTTTACAATCTATCTTTGCAAACGATTCTGGTCATGAAGGATATCTCATTTCTTGTGTAACACCCACCAGTCATTAGTCACCACATTATCAAGAACCTCTCAGATTTCCTCGAGATGTGGCACATACAACTTTGATTTCTTGGATTCTCTTGGACACAAGAAGAGGGGCTGTTACACCCTCTCACGTATCTATTATTTCTTGAGTAACACGAGCAACATTCCAGTCGCTTGAGGAAAGAGTTAGGATAGAAGCACAGGGTCATCATCTGTAATGTACTTCGCCTCAGCCCAACTCAACAGAAGATGCTTCTTGTCAAGAATATAGGCGAGTGCGTCCAATTTCATTTGCTCTCGAGTGCTAATGGAATGGTCACCTTTTGTGCAACCCACAGCATCTAAAACAATATCTTCGAGAGCACTGGAATCAATAGGCCCCTTCGACTGGTGCTGTTCGCTGAATGATTTACGTCACAGATGAATACTCAGATGTATCACAGCAAGGTGATGTCCGCAAGCACAAGAACGCCGTCTTATGAGAGTTACGCCCCAAAGAAAAAAGGGTCGGTGGGGAAATCGCTCGCCAGTGAGTGCTTCGCTACCTGATATTTAGCTTCGGGACTTATCCCACTGACAGATTCTGGGAGCGCACCATGATGTGAGCGTGCAGTCAAGAAGCAGTTCATTGCGGTAATGGAGAGGTTCTAGAAGGCGTGGTGCAGCAGGCCATTGACCGAAGCGGGCATTGTATCCGTGACAATTGACATGCGCCGCGAGACCATCGAAATGACGCCTTTGAAGCTGGGCCTGGATATCCTGGATTAACGAAACGACAACGACGTGCAATGGTGCACACAGGAGCATTTATCGCTAGGCCGAATTTCTAAAGATTTCGTTGTATTGAACAGATGCTATCTGCTTTGAGGTCCAGTGGATGCAGCGGTATGCCGGTAGTCGGGCGTCTGGTAGCTCTGGACTCCCAAACGTGTGAGCCGTGACAGCGATGTCCCTGCCCGGTGTTGCCGATGATCGATGATCCAGCACTTACGTAGGAGGCAGCCAGTCATCAGAAGTTGTTGCTGCTTACATGCGGGAATAATGCGTCGTCAGCATGGCATGTGCGCAACACCTCTTATCCAATGTGTATGACTTCGCATGCATCTGGTGGTGCGTTACAGTGGGCTTCTGTTCCCTGGTCGGCGAAGCCATGGTCGGGGCCTCAGCTCAGGAAGATTATGGGCCAGACACGTTAACTGGTAAAATCACCGGTGAGTCCACGGGCTCATCTTGATTAGCTTAAGAAATTCTAACTCACAGGATGGCTTCACGACTGTGCACGCAGGAGTAGGGTCACGATAAGTATTTTACAGATGCCGCGCAGCTTTCCAATCACTAATGGGGGGGCACCTGTAAATGGAGCTAGTCAATGTTAATTTTAGCATCGAACAAGTCCTAGTATAGCTATTGTACGCACTTGTTCGCATAAGTTGTCTGGTGAGATGCATGTTCATTTCACAGGGTAGTAAGCCTAAGCGCTGTGTAGCTAGTGCTAGCCACGTGCGCCTCGAGTTTACTGTTTTTTTGCATAAATGTCTTCAATGCTCATAAACTTGATTGTTTCACAAGAGAACTCACTCTATGCTTGGCAGTCTTCCTTTGTTTCCTAGTCACCACCTTTATGGCAACGAAACCTACTTAGCACTGAAGACATCTCTAGAGGCATTGCTCAACCACTCAGGCTGGAACTTGGGGAGCAAGGGGCGAGTAACTGCACTAGGACGATGCTGCTATGACCTATGGGGCAGGTACCATCGCAATTTTCTCGTGCCGCTCATCAGCTGACGTCGTGGTGGGCCCGTGGTACAAACCTCGTATGCTATGAGTGGTCAGCCCATCGTCGGTGCCTTGCCGTTGAACTTTAACTCATGCAACGGCTTTCAACCGTTGGCACTACGTTTGGTGCCCCCGTTGCTCTTCCACATCACTCGCGTTCTCGGAGTGGGTAGAATCAAGGATTATAGAATAATGAACTTTGTGCTTTCCCGCCAATTACCGCGGCGCGTGTGCGACTAACTCCAAGCGGCACTTGAAAAATGTTGTTGGCACTAATGCTCCGATCAAAAATCTTATCAATAGCTCATCGAGCTACTTTCTCCTTGAGCTTACCATAGTCTAAACGACTAAATGGCATCATTGTCATTGTCATCACCACCAACTGACGTCGGGGCCAGCAGCTCAAACGACGTACCTGAGTTGCCTTGTGAATTTTCAAAGATAGAAAGTGCTGGGCGCCAGCAACAGCATGTGGTACGATGATCTCCTTGTTTTACTTAGTGGCGAGCACTAAGCCTGCGTAAGGTGGGGCTTGGCGGAGTCAACTTGGAATACGACGAGGAGGATACGCTTTTCATCAAGCAACTCATTGACACAGTGTGTTCAAACCACCTTGCATCGCAGAATCGAGTTCGCCAGTACACAAACTTCTTGACGATGCTGAAACGTGAGGAGGATGCATGGGCAGAGAGATTTAAGCGTGCGAGCAGCCTAATGCCGGATTACAAACCTCCCATGGAGTGGACAGCTTAAGGGTGATCTAAGGAAGACCGTATACTTCTGAATCCTTGTGTAACTTTCTCCTCATCTTTCATTGTAGCGTCACTGGTCCTTTGTATTCAACTTTTGTAAACCACTATTCACGATATCATGTTGTCAGCTACGTACTGAATTTGAGAATTGGACCCTTGCTCATACTAAGTAAATATCGTAACGTCTATTCCTAACAAAGACAAACATGCTCTGCAATATCGATATCGCCTTGGTTGGGAGTCGGAAGGTAAAGCTCACATGGCGAAATATTTTCCGAACGAAACTGCGTCATTTGAATGCATCTCCATCCACCTTCAACAAGTCTTTGCATACTGTGTTGCAGACCGGCGCATTGCTACAGGCAGCAGCCTGTTAAAATCATGATTCTTTCCAAAGTGAAAACCATCTCCTTCTACAGCTCTGGATGCGACCATAACTCTTGTTGGTATTCGTGCATGATGCCGCACAGACGTACATATTGTATGCGGATTGCACTGTTGGAGTAAAGTAAGTCCGAGTCGCAGATTTAAATCATGAAACTGGTAACTGGACCGTCACCTTCGTGCCTAGGAATAGACGATTCTCTCTTCCCTATGCGAGCTAGAGTATCCATCAGTGAACCAGTGAGATGATAATGATATTTAAAGCAATATATTGTTGAGCATTGCAACAATCAGCGTAAATTTGTCGACCGCTTTCACATGGGAATGTTGGGCCATGATCAGTTCCAACTCTATCCTCCAGGCATACCGGAGGCCATAGTGATCATGTGTGTAATTCCGTTGGAATTAATATCAATAATTGACTGTTTACATCACCTTCAGATCGTTTCAGATGCAAGCCAGAATGCACTACATTAATCTAGATCGATGTTGAGTAGCATATAGTTGGTCGGGTATACTGCGCTTTAAAGGTACGCTGAGTAGTTTTGTCAAGTGAGACAGTTAAAGGAGGATGTTAGCTGTTCTTTTCAACGTCTCTGTACATGTCGTGCCCTATCTTTGTGTCCCGTACATCTGCGTCCGCGTGCTGATGGTCATTTTAGGTAATTTGTATTGCGTGTTCAAGCTATGAGCTCGAGATAATAATGAGCAAGACGCGTGATGGGCCAGCCTGTGGCAACTGTGCCCCATAATTGGTTGGTTGTCGCACACTATTCTACCTTTGTGATGCAAATGGGGCGACATCAATGTCATTTATTTGACTCTAGGCAGGCAATCGGAGCATTCGCAAGAGCATCCACACTTGTATAATTTTCGGATATAGAGAAATTGTTTTGTGGTTGTGGTTGTGGTGTGTCCACAGTAGCCCAACCCTTATATACTGAAATGCAGATGCCCTACACACCACACACATTACCGCCTCATTCATTGCAACTGTACATCCCCTTGTTTCCCCTACATCAACTATGAATTCGTTTAAGAGAATGTTCCAAAAGTGAGTCGACGGTTTTCGTGTTCTACCCATTGTCATCATACTAATAAATACCCCTTAGGTCCAATGACGACCAGACGGCGTCCCTTAAACATTCCAAATCGATGCCATACAGATCCTCTTCACAAGGGAGGATGCGCGAGTCTCCTTGCGCAGATTCTTCCAAACACGCATACCGTGGCAAAACCCCCCTTAAGAAGTCCGACATCGTTTACGTCGAGCAAGCTCCGGGAATGCTCGAGATCTATCACGGTAAACTGTCGCAACACACCTACTACCATGGGCCGACTCGCGCGAACTCTGACGCACGCGCGGACTTGCTGGCCAAGTTTCCCCATTCCCCTGAACCAACCGAGGGCCTCCCTCGCAGCGGTTTCAGAGCGTTTTCTTTGAATTCAAAGAATCACAGGCCCCAAGTGGCTATCCATAATTCGAATGCAAGTGGTCAACGAGCCTACCCCTCCATTCCCCGCAGAAAGCAGAGGCACGAGGCCACTATTGATCAAGCTTCTGCCGATGTCCTGCAGACCCCTGACAACCATACTCGCAGTGACAGACTGGCGGAAAGTATTCGCGCCAAGTCAAGCACTAGTCACTCGAACATCCCTCCTCCCCTCGCTCCCGCTCCCCCTTTTCCTACCCCCCGCTCCCTCCATCCGGCGCTCTCGCGCTCCGCACACAGCTCACGCATAAATATTCGGGAAGTTCCATCTCGTCTCGCCGTCCCGACTCCTGCACCAGCCCAGTCCTACTGGCCTTACTCCGAATACGATGAGATCTCGCATGAGCAGGACCCCACCGCCCTCCGTGGAATGATCAATCGTTATCCCTTGGCGCCGGTTCGCAGCCAACACTGCCCAGAGCATATGCGTCCCATACATTTTGACATGGACGAGTCGCAGGGTCTCGAGAAGACACTTCAATGGTACATACATCTGGCATTGGCCCAAGGTCGTCCCCTCGATGTACGCGCGGGTGGCCGTTACCCGCCGCATCGTTGACGCGAGTGACCCAATGGGCATCGTTCCGGAGACGGGAACTGATTGGTCTCAACAGGGTGCCAGTCATCGGTGACTTTATGGAGACGGATATTAGTTTGTGAAGGGAGTTTTGGTGCGGGTTCACCTACTCGCGTATGTCGTGTGTTATGTATATGCATATGGATATGATGTATGAAACGAAATTATTTGCCTTTCAAGGGAGATTATGGTGACGTCAGCTTGACGCATGTTAGGGTGTAAGTACTCATGTTGGAGAAATTAATCCGACTCAAGTAGTAAACTACGTTGGCTAACTACTAACAGTTGCAGGTTAGAAACCTGCTCAACCTTTGACTATGACTTGAACATTTATCGATGCATCCTTCAAGGTCTATCTCAAGGAGCCAATTAGTCACTGGCATGGCCAACTGGCACCAGAAATGTGCTCTGTTGGACTACTCAGGTTCGAAACCTGCAGGGTTTCCTGCCGACAAATGAATTTTCTCGTTTATCTCACCTTGACATTCACTCGCAGACAGTTCCTGGAGGGTCACCTCAAGTTCCGCCTGGCGAAAGTGGTCACCATAACAGAATTGAAATCTGGATTTTGCAGGTTCGAAACCTGCCAACAAATAATTTTTCCTCTTATCACACCTTGACATTCATTCATAGACAGTTCCTTGGAGATCCAACTCAACTTTATCCTCGCCAAAGTGGTTACCATAACAGAATCCAAATCTGTTTCCCTTAGACTATGCGGGTTTCAAACCTGCCGAACGGCAGTTTTTTTCTATCGGAACACACCTTGACGTTCACTCATGGATGGTTTCCTTACCGGGAGCCTGAGGTCTATCTCAACTTCATCCTGGCCCAAGTGGTTACCACCACAGAGGCACCATCTGTCACTCCCTCTTGGACTGCGTAGGTTCGAAACCTGCCGACGACAAGGTCGTTTTTACTCTAAAGCATAAATTTCAGGAACAAGATGGGAGGAATTTTTCTTGCACAACAACGCCCACATCATGAGTGCTTCATGAGACGGCATGATGCAGAAATGGAACAGTACTGCGACATAGAAGGTCTTATCGGACAATGCGGTTGGAATACCCTTGACGAATTTCTCATTGATGGTTTCCTCGATGGTCCATCTCAACTGGGTTTAGCCGGCAAGTGGTTGTTACCACAACGAGTCAAAATTGTCGGACAATACGGTTGGAATACCCTCGATGAATCACTCATTGATGGTTTCCTCGGTGGTCCATCTCAACTGGGCTTAGCCAAGTGGTTGTTACCACAACAGAGTCAAAATCTGTTGCTCTGGCGCTGCATACGCAGGTTTGAAACCCGCCTACGACAAGCTTTTTCTATTGGAACAGCCTTGAAGATTCACTCATGGATTTTTCCTGCAAGGTCCATCGGAACACCCCTTGACATTGAAATATTCACTCATGGATGGTTTCCTCAGAGGTTCATCTTATTAGACACCTGTCCAGGTCTCTCGCAAGATGGGGTGCCAACACTCGACGCCAGACATAACCCAACACATCGTCTATAGAAACGTAAGCATATACATACAAATAGTACAAGTACTATCTCAGCAGATCTCAACTCTATCTCACCGACATTTCAGCACAACAAGATCGATTACCAGTAGAGGTTGAGTTGAGACGTACTACGGGAGTAAATGACGACGGACTCGGATCAGAATCACGTTGAGTGTAGAAATGAAAGTTATATATAAGTAGTGTCAAAGCATGGTCAAAGCGCTAGGGAGTAAATGACGACGGACTCGGATCAGAATCACGTTGAGTGTAGAAATGAAAGTTATATATAAGTAGTGTCAAAGCATGGTCAAAGCGCTAGTGGCAAATGAAAGTGGCTAAGGTATTGGTCAAAGTGTTAAGTACAAAGAATGAAACGGGACATATGGTTAGTCCAGCGATACTGCAATGCACCGACCATGCAGCGTGCGCATTTGGCCCAGCTAAGCAGTGATCATACTGACAGAACTGTGTAATTATTATCCCAGTTCCTCGCTATCAGACCATGCTTTGTATATAGTTCGTCCTTGAGCCGTGCAACAGACGATTTGTGAACCGTATCGCACGGACCTCGATTGCTGATAATGACTGCTCGAGCGAAACAACAAGACGCCGCATCTCGTGAGCTAGAAGCGAATTGACCTGAGAAGTGACGGAGAACCAGTAAGGCAGAGGAAAAGATGCAGTGGAAGAAGTCGTGTCTGAAAATCCCAAAGCATAGCCAGAGTCAGGGGTGGAAGAATCCTGTATGAACTATGAAGACTCCACTGGCATGATCAAAGAAGCCCATATGGGAAGCAACAACACTAGCGTTCGGCGGTCCGCACGAAGAGCTGTTCGAATCAGTTCGATGGCAGTCTGCTTTGTAGATCTGGCCAATGACCGGTGTGTGCCGAGGGTAGAAGATTCCGGTCCAAAGCATAGGCAACATGGAGACGAGAGACGAGGCATGCCCATCCAACCGGAAGAAGACGCAACCGGCCAGGTGCACCAAATCACATGCGAGGAAACAAAAGACCAGCAGCCAGGATATAAAACCGTTGGGGAAAGGAGGATACCCAGGAGATTAGTATACAAAAGCCAGGATGCAGAAGCGATGTTGCGAGGATGCGAGACAGCGAGTACGAACGGACTCAGACATATGATGGGAATCGAGCACACGTATGTGCAGCTAGAACTCAGACATCAGGATGTCAATTGTAAGACCAAACAGTGAAAAAATGTCAATAAAATGATGCAAAGAGTGTAAGAGACTCGCGACAGCAAGATGAGAAGCGAAGCAGTGTACAACAAGAGTCTAGAATGATGCCAGTGAGTAGCGACCACGAAGTCCTTCGGAATCAAGTTCAGCCCGAGTTGTAGTCAGTACTACATGAGGTAGCGGGTCGGACACAGACGAGGAGCAAAGCAATGCCAAAATACTATCAACAGAATGATAGATGATATGAATTTGAAGAAGTGCACACTGGACGATGAAAGTAACAGAGGAATATAGTATACCAACACGGTAGAGAAACAATGAACATCGAAAGCGAAAGGAAGAGGAACCGAGAGGGAGGAGGGGGCGAGTCATGCACGAGTTCCAGATCGCAGTCGACTTTAGCTGGCATGTTTCCCCAACAGGGTTATTTATATGCATCGGTGATGCAGCATCTTGTTCAGCAACGAGCTAAATCCAGCCACTCCTCTATATATTAACTAGTTTGGCGAGAGGGTAGGGCCGAGGATTAGGCCCATGTATTACGTGATTGATAACATAGCATTGCTGAACACTGCAGTAACAAGTCAATAATGAAATACAGACTCGCACAGCTTTGACTATAGTGAGAGCTCACCGATGATAGTATAGTATGATGACCATATTGCACACTTGTGTGGTGCAGGATTGCGACAAGAATGAGCACGGGAAGGTAATTGGCGAATGAGACAAACTGAAACCAAATGGGGCGGGTGTTGGCTGAGGAATTGAGAGTCGAGACGAGCAAGGATTAAAGCACGGGAAGTAAGGCTGACACCTTTGAAACTTATGATTTTGATAAATGCATGTTGAAAGACGGAAAACCCCCATCAGGAGCGGATCCAAGAAGCTAACAGAAAGAAATTTGATTGCATCTGGTGCACAGGCGGATCGAGATGAAAAGGTGATATTTGCAGTAAGCTATGTGCATTCGGACAAGTTATATGACGGAATGTTAGAGAAAAAGCTCAACACGAGAGATATTCATGCGGCAATCTAAGATAGACAACTTTCAGCCAAATTCCAGGGCCGAGAAGTAGCGACTGCACTATCACCATTGGATGGGATATATTCTGGAAGCTGTGGAGACACGAGTCGGACGGATGCTACACAGTACAGCCGAGGAAGGTGGTTATGACTCGTATGGAGCATTCTTGCTGCAACCGTGATGACAAACTGCCTCGTGTCTTGGGCGTCTATGGAAACGAGGCAGGTTAGCATGGTGAAGAAGCATAAAAGCGCATCTGCAGTTTAGAGAAAGACACCCAATCCCTCAACCGTGCTAACACCATCAACCCCCAGTAAAATGTCACAGCTCATTCCAAGCACCAGACCCCTTCAAACTTTTGAAGAACATGAGGGGACCGTAAAGGCAGTCGCAGTTTTGCCCGATAAGCGACGGATGGTTACGGGTTCGAACGACTACACACTTCGTGTTTGGGACTTAGAGACAGGTATTGTGTTGAAGAAAATGGAGGGGCATAGCAGCAGTGTGGAGGCATTGGCGGTATCACGAAATGGCCAAATAATAGCAAGCGGTGATTATGGCGGAAAGCTCATCGCCTGGCACGGCGAAACTGTAGAACCTCTCACCCAACCCATCAAAGCCCACCCACATCAAATCCATTCGTTAGATTTTTCTCCGGATGGTGCGGTGCTGGCCACTGGTGGATGGCAGGACGGGGTGAAGCTTTGGTGTACGAAAACATGGCAGATGCAAGGGGAACCAATCGAGTGTGATTTTTGGATCCGCTGCGTTCGATATTCGCCTTCTGGTGAACTTCTTGCAATCGCAACCGACGACAGTATACAAATTTATAATCCGGGCACGAGTGAACGTGTCGCATCTTTCGAGGGTCATGCTGGTCACAAAGTATCCAACTCGTCACTTGCGTGGACGCTCGATGGCACACGCCTTCTTTCAGGAGGCAGTGGAAACGATCCTACCATACGAGAGTGGGATCCATTAACCTGGCAGCAGGTCGGTCATCCCTGGGAAGGTCATACTGGTGGGATTAACGCCATTGCCATTCATCCTGCTGGCACCCTTGTCGCTTCTGCATCTCATGACAAGCATGTCCGTCTCTGGCGGCTCTCAGATCGACAAACTATCGCCATCTTCCAGCATTCATCTACCCAGACTTGTATCACGTTCTCCGTGGATGGCGAGCACATCCTCAGCGGAGGTTATGATAAGAGGATCTCAGAGTGGGCAGCCAAGGGTGTTCATTCAAAGGTGAGCTTCCGTTCTCGACTCTCATAACACAATTCGAGCATGCTTCGTGCAGATTGTGGCTATCACGACTACCCGCGATGCATGTTTAACTGGGGACTTGTCTACCGCTGAAGAACTACTCACGCAAGAGATCCACACCGACGCCAACGACTATACTTCATATTCCCATCGTTCATTTGTTATGGCCCGAAAACACGCCTGGGACCATGCCCTTGATGATGCAATCAAGGTGAGATATATTGGCCCGCTTACGAAAAGGCTAGCTTTCATCCGTGACATAGTCTATCAGCATCCAGCCCTCATTGACAGGCTACATCTCCAAAGGCATCGCCCTCTGCGGAAAAGGCCTTGTACGGGAGGCAAGGATAACATTCGACGTCGCATCCATGTTCACGAACCAAGATTCGGACACCAACCATTTTCTTCTCTTGATCAAGGTTGGTCAAATTCGTCTCGCATGCTATCTGCTATTTGCTTCATTCCGAATTTCAGGCCATTGCACTCTTCAACGCAGATCAACACGAGGAAGCAATGCTGCTCGTCAAAGAACTCGCTGCAGCTTGTCCGAATACTGATTCTCTCGGGTGTCATGTTGTGGAAGTAAGTATCATGCAGCCACACTCCATCATCAAAACTGATCTTTGCAACTCCGACACATTAGACATATCTACGCGTTCAGCTTGGAACCAAAGCCTTGGATGGTGCGCGTTATGACGAAGCCGCTGACTACTTCACTACCGCTGTCAGCTCCAGCGCTTTCTCATCGAAAAACATTCATGAAACATACGAGGACTTGACCGTGGTGCGTCAAGATGATGTATACATAGTGCTTTTCGTAACCGGGTGCTTTGTCCAGCTCTTCGGCTGGGACCTCGAGTCCTTGTGTCTCACTACACACCAGAAACGGTGCAAGGCATTCCTCTCTGCAGGTAAACCAAATGAAGCCCTCGACGCACACCAATACATGATGGACACCGTCGACGAAACTGCGAAGGCCAGCTGCCTCGATTGGTCCAATGGCAAGTTTTCATTGATGTCACCGAGGTTATCATGCTCACCCGCCGCGGCATTTCACTCAGAATTTAAGGAGCAATGCAATACGTTCGCTGCGCACAATGACCGTATTCTTGGTGTATGCACTCTCTTGCTCATCCCTTTCTCTACTGACCTGCTTGCAGGCGGAGGTTCCCCGGCAAGATCAGAATGACTACGATACAAAACCCAGTCTTGTCCACGGAATGCATCAAGTACGTGCAATAGCGGATCCTCCTTCTTTCTCTCACATCGTTAATTACAGCATTCTCAAATTTCCCAGCCACGACCCCAACAGCGTCCTGGGCGCCTCAAAAGACTCAGGCTCGCTATGACGAGAACCCCTCGTTCAGCTCCCTCACCAGCTCCAGCTCCAGCTCCTACACCTGCACCACCTGCCACCCCTCCACCAGCCACCGTTTTTACCACCATCACAGCTCAGCTAGGAAACCTATTCCTCTGGCGGTCTGATCATGCAGGGCCACCCGTTGTCGACGTTCCTTTGGCGCAGGGTGTACAGGTGGGCTCAGTGGATTCTCATAACTGTGTCTTGGGTATCTGACACGTAAATTTACAGTGTAATGCTGAAGCGGGTGCTCCTGGGAGTGACGATTCCTTGATACGTGATGAAGATTATCATGGACCTCCTTCACCGGACCCCAATTTACAACAGCAACAGCAACAGCAACCAGTAGTAGTTCAGATAGACTCCGGGGAACACGGAGGCGGCCGGTCATACTGCTGCTAGCGGAATTGGTGAATGTCCGGGGTTATTTCAGTTCTATTGTCGCTCGTAATGTGCACTGGAAACGGTACTTATTTTATTAATAGGTAATGACTGCATCCTCATTTCGTGTCATCATCCATGGCTAATCATAATTATCAAACTTGCGTCCTCCATATGTACAGCTTGGCTTGCACACAGCCAATGAATCATGATACCTTTTCGCTTTACCCGAGCACAATGCTCTGTGAAAGTTGGTAGGCATCTTGAATTCGCCTGGGTCCTGCACAGAGAATGAATCGGAGAACGACCTCCATGATGACGCGATTGCAGGGACACTTCCGATTCGCGAAGACTTGCAATTCCCATACCACTCATTGCGAGCAGACGCGTGACCATAAACATTAACGCACAAGTGATCTTGACATGCATTTGGTGGTTAGAAATACGCGAAGATTTATTCTGACACCACCCACTGACACCACCCACAATCAAGGCTGATGATGGGGCAGATGCCGCAGGTGCTTAAGTGCTTACAAGATCAATCATCACAGCACACGAGTCTCTGCAAGAGAGAGATGTCCTCGTCAACGTTACGGGATTTGGTTTGGTGATGAAAGCGAGTTTGGAGTGAGAGGGCCAACTGATAGTAGGAAGTTCGGAACCACCGGTGTATTCCAACTACCTTGCATCGGTCCACCAGTATACAAACTTCTTGACAAATCACACCTTGACATTCACTCACGGACAGTTCCTGGAGGTTCAACTCAACTTCGTCCTGGCGAAAGTGGTTGCCACAACAGAATCGAAATCTGTTTATCTTGGACAGGTTCGAAACCTGCCGACAAATATTTTTTCCCTCTCATTAACCTTGACATTCTTCATTCATGGACAGTTCTTCGGAGGTTCATCTCAACTTGGTCTTGGCCAAACTGGTTACCACAACAGAATCAAAATCTGTTTGTCTTGGACAGGTTTGAAACCTGCCGACAATTATTTTTCCCTCTTATCAACCCTGACATTCATTCATGGACAATTCTTCGGAGGGTCATCTCAACTTGGTCTTGACCAAAGTAGTTACCACAACAGAATCAAAATCTGTTTCTCTTGGACTGCGCAGGTTCGAAATCTGCTGAACGACATTTTTTCTATCAGATCACACCTTAACGTTCACTCATGGATGGTTTCCTCGGAAGTTCGTGTCAACTTCGTCATAGCAAAGTGATTACCGCACCAGAGTCAAAATCTGTTCCTCTTGGATCCGACTACGTAGGTTCGAAACCTGCCGACGAAAAGGTTGTTTTTTACTCCAAAGCACAAGTTTCAGGAACAAGGGGTAGATCTATGGAATTTTGTCTTCTTGCATCACATCGTGAGTGCTTCATGAGACGGCATGATGCAGAAGTGGAACAGTACTGCGACACAGGAGGTCTTATCGGACAATAATGGAAAGGCGGTTGGAACACCGGTATGGATGCCTCATAGAGGGGCTGGTCACCAGTCTAGGTAGCACGTCGAACACAGACGAGGAGCAAGCCAATGCCAAAGTGCTATCAAGAGAATGATAAATGGCAGAAGTGCACACCAGACAATGAAAGCAAGAGAGGAATCCGGTATACCAGCGCGCTGGAGAAACAATGAAAACCGAAACCGAAAGGACGAGGAACAGAGATGGAGGAGGCGAGTCATGCACGAGTTTCAGGCCGCAGTCGACTTTAGCTGGCATGTTTGCCCCAACAAATCACAAATGGAGGGCACCCATTTATATGCATCTGGTGATCCAGCATCTTGTTCAGCAATACAAGTTAATCCCAGTCACTCCTCGATGTATTAACTTGTTTGGCGAGAGGGCAGGGCCGAGGATTGTTCCGTGATCGATAAACATAACATTGCTGAACACTGCAGTGACATGAGACATGACAATGATTAAATGCAGGATCGCGTAGGCGTGACATGGGTAGGGTATGCCCGGGTACCCGCCCGGGCAACACCCGCGTGTGCATGTGAATCGTGGGTCGGGTGGTACGGGTCATGGGTACCCGTTGTGGTCCACCCGCGCGGGTACGGGTAGAAGGTCCTGCAAAAATTGGGTACCCGCGGGTAGGAGACTTGAATCTGTGGCAAGTACGAACATCGTATCATACCTCATCTACACTGATAGTATCCACCTGAGATTTTTAAACAAGTTGACCGTATCCCCATTTGATACTCCAAAGTAAAGAGCGGACCGTCTGGCCTACGCTCTACATGCCCAGTGTCCTTCCCCAACCCACAACAAACGCGGTCTGTGCAACTCAACGACATATCAATGAAGAAGGCTTAGTTCACATTGACTGCACCGGCTGCGGCTAGGGAAACGCACGGGTACGGGTAACACCGCGGTTCTATGCTGACGGGTTTGGAGGGTACGGGTACGGAGTAGGATAGTCGTACCCTTGAGCATACCGTGGCCATTCACCGCGGGTTGACGGTGTTTGGGCGGGTATAATATACCAAATCGGGAACCAGGCGCGCGACAGCCATTGAACACCGTGTTTGATTCTCTGTTTTTCCTTCCTCTGAGAGCTTGAGGATCACAAGTGAATGCTATACTGATTTCTGTCATGTCTTTTGTACCCCCGTGAATCATTCTAGCAATTTATTGAGCTGACACTTCGTTGCAGAGAAGCTCGAGTCACTACCATAAAGCCAAGGCAAAAACTCGAGACCAGTAAGTCCACTGAGTCGTCTCCCCATGAAAACTAAGCTCACAAAGAAGGCATCTGATGCTTCGTCTACCCAGTCACACTCATCATCTAAGTCTATCTCGTCGTCCATCTCCGAGAAGGCCAGGTCACTCAAAAAGGCTGTTGCAAAGGGTGCTAAGGCTCTGGCCCGCCCCTTGAAGAAGGTCAAGCAGTCATTTGTGTCTCGGTCTTCTCGATCGAGCCCCACAGACACCGTTGATCTTACGCGATCAAGTACTGATTCACTTGCCACTGACGATAACAAATCAACGGCAGGTGCATTCGAGCCTGATCCCGATCCTTCTGCAGATCTTGGTATGTTTCTTTCCATTGATTTTTGCAAATATCTGATTATACAATGATACAGAGGCTCTCAAGAAGACTTGGCGGTCACCTATCTATAGTTTCTTTTCATCCGAAGTTGTGGTCCAACACCACAATGGCCGCTTGTGTCATTTTTTTTCCCGTGTGGTGCGCGTAAGTGTAAGACAGCTTTAGGAGGACTCAAAAACGGAAGCGAAATGAAGTCGAAGCAGAGGAGAATGACAAGGAAAAGTAGTACTATTTTATTTCATTGTTGTTAATACTTAATACACTCTTCTTGGTAATGTACCCGCGGTAGCCTGCGGCACGCAGTCGTCAACACAAGAACTGACCACTAGCTACGTACTGAGTTACAATGAATATACCATGAAGTATGCCACACAAGAATGTCCGAGATGTAGCTAATGTTGACCATCTGTGTGTTGAAAAGAGACGCAACCAATCCAGAGTACGAACCGAGTCCACCATCCGGGCTGAGCTATGATAATATCAGGATGTGGCGACGCGCCAGTTGCTACCGCGGTAGCGACGGCTGTAGGAAGTCCCTTGGGTGTCGTAGCAGTGGCAAGTGGTTGCTGCGATGATGATGCTGTGCATTGTAATGTTCCAGTGGGCATAACATAAGTATTGGGAGGTCGAGAGGAGCCGGAAGGTTTCTTTCTTGCGTGATAGTTCCTCTGTACATACTAAGTCAGTGATAAAGAATGAATGAGAGTGGAAAAAAGGTACAGGCTTTAACGCTGCCCCTGCTTTTAAGTGCACAACATGCCAGATAGTATGTTTCGAGTCCAGATGAGAGGGCGGGATCGTGCACGAGACCACCTGGGAGGATGAGCGAGCTCGTTGGCCATTGAAAAAGAAACGAATCTAAGCTTACATTGTCTGATGGAAGACCAGCTTCTTTGAGGATAACTGAAACGTCCCATATGTATATATGATCGTAGTCACAGCGAGTGACGAGGAACTTTCCATCTGCAGAAAAGGTCGCAGACTTTAATTGCACCCTGGGTTCATGGTGAAGTGGTGTTCCGATGGGTTGATTGGTTTCGAAGTTCCATAGTTGCACAGCTGTCTTGTCGAAGGATGATGTGTTTGCGAGAATGCGCTGATTGGGATATATTGAAATGGCATCGACCAAGTTTTCGTCCTCATCAATATTGTCATCATTTGAAATCGTTTTGAAAAATATTTCGCGCATGTCGATAACAGCTGTCCACGTGACTGTGTCGAATTTCTTGATCAAGTCGGATCCCCCAGCGAAAAGTACTCTTCCATCCGAGGTCCATGCCAGGCACCAATATCGACCCTCGCGATCAAGAGTTTTGAGCAATTCGCCTGTGTTGGCATCCCAGATATTCAACCCATTCCCGCTGGTGCCCGTGGCAATCATCTTGCCATCGGGTGAGTAGCAAACCGCGTACATCCATCCCCCTCCCTTGATTGGTCCGACGATAGTTTTTCCACCCTCGACATCCCATACTCTGAATTTTCCAGACGAGGACTCTCCGCTCATCACTCGTCTTCCATCCGGACTCCAGCACAGAGAACCCACTTTCTCTGTGTGCCCCGTCAATGTTTTGATGACCTTGCCCGTGTCGATGCTCCACAATTTCACTGCGCCATTAGGACTCCCGGTTGCTACTTTCTTGCCGTCCGGCGATAATGCTATGATCTCCACTTCTCTTTCTTCGTCCTCCCATTCCTCTCCAAACTGCGTGTCCCTCTCCATGTCCCAGATTTGAAATGATCCGTTACTCGATGAATAGGTGAGGATACGCTGTCCACCGGGTAGGTGTAGGATGTGGCTGGTGCCATAGTTTACTCTGATCTTTCGGTAAGGTATTGTTGCTAAGTTCTCGTGCTTCGCAGGGGTTGGGTGCTCCGTGACTTTGGTTTCGGGATTCACTTGATGGGTGCATATTAATTTCAGCTCTTGCCTTCAACCGCTGTACAAATTATCACTTACTCAGAACCCAGATGCTACTCGATTCGCACTGAAAGAGGAATGCTGAACGAAAGCTGAGACGGAGTGGGTGTTTCGTTCAATGGAGATTCAGATCAGGAGGGAGGTCGTGGTTAAAATCTTCTGCAGGCACGTTTCATCCTCGCTGCTTTAGCACTGCTTGTGCAGTTAAGCGCCCAGTCATGACAATATGCGCATTAGCGCCTCGGCATCACGGTCCTACTATCCCGCAATCCTGCACATCTGTGTTTGTCTACTCGCCCAATACGATTTGCAATTGTCGTATCTATCTTTGCTCTCCAGGACTCATCGATCGTGGCTCTCAACGTCCTATGTGAGCTTTTCTTTTTCTCCCTACTAGCAAATCACATTCTAGTTATTCTGCTTACATTTTTCTAGTCTTCGTCTAATCGGTCATTTCCCGTCGCTTCCAAATCCATGTCCCCATACTCGGAGTAACGTGTCGAGCAAACAAATTGAATAGACTGCCTCTATCGCCCTTTGCATTCGTCGGTATTATTCTCAAGCAGGAACGTGCCGCTCGGATCCTCAAGTATCTCTTCATTTCGCGAATCAGACATGTACGCACCATGAACTCAGTGCTCGTCTCACCATAGCTCACCGAGGAGAGTTTCAATTCTCGATTACGCACCCGACTTGAGATGTGAATCACTAACCATATTTGAAGAGCCTACATGGCGCTCAAGAGGATCCCCCTTTCTCCACTGCCCGACTTCTTCACACAGAATATTTCTTTTCTCGATGCAGAGTTGAATCAGGAAGGAGGGCGATTTTAGCGCGACACGTAGAACTCAAGACCAGATAATTGCATTGGCCCAGTGAAGGGTGTGGACTTGCTTGACAGTAAGAGACGCCACATTGATGCTGAGATGCCAAAAGAGATGAAAAAGCTTTGCATGTCGTCTCGTTGTGTGGGATTTCTCCGATAACGAAGATGATGAGATTAGTAATGCTGATCAGTGGTAACCTACAGACTATTTTTCATGTTGTAGTTTATATAAATCTACATGACCCATTAAAAGTTTTCGAGTCGTCGCACAGGGTGTTCGGAGGCCAGCAGAAGCACTTACCTTACTAGGAAGGTTCTGAGAAGTGAAAGCGTTTGAAGTAGAGCACGGTAGCCTAGTCTGGCTTTCCATAACTTTCAGCCAAATTCGAGGACTGGGAAGTAGTCGCCATTGGATGGGATATATTCTGAAAGCCGTGGAGACATGAGTCAGACACAAGTACACAGTGAAGTTTGCCATGGCCGTTGCAATA